ATGCGTACTAGTACGACAAAAACCCCTACGCGTAAGACGTACTAGTACGACGAAAACCCTCAAAGGGTTAAATGTTTATACAGGACAGTCTCTCCTCATTTAACGACATACTCATTTACCAATGATTCGGACTTACGACGGGCTCTCTGACCAGTATTCATAACTAAATAATGTATATTAGAGCTGATTCCCTCTATTCTGTTTATTTCAGTGTACAGTACACTACTGTATAAACATTTAAAAATACAGTGGACCCCCGCTTAACGATCACCTCCAAATGCGACCAATTATGTAAGTGTATTTATGTAAGTGCGTTTGTACGTGTATGTTTGGGGGTCTGAAATGGACTAATCTACTTCACAATATTCCTTATGGGAAAAAATTCGGTCAGTACTGGCACCTGAACATACTACTGGAATGAAAAAAGTTCGTTAACCGGGGGTCCACTGTATACCAGAAATGTTATAAATGGTGCAAAGGTGACATTAACCCTTTCAGGGTCCAAGGCCAAAATCTGAAGGGGTGCTCCAGTGTCCAAGAAATTTTGAAAAAAAAAAAAATTTTTTTTCCTACAGAATTAAAGATAATAATTTTGTGAAGGTAATGAAACAAAAAAAAGTTTTTTTATCGTACTTATGGTACAGTGGCGGGAAGGCCCCAAATGACTGGGTGGTGGAACATCGTGACTTCCACAAAATCGCTTTTTTTTTTTTTATGTTTTTTTTTCTTTTTTTTTTTCTTTTTTTTTTCAAATTTTTTTCTTTTTCTAGAAAACATTTGTGGCCGGGACCATTATAAAATTATTGTATAAGTGTAAATCATTGTATTCAACACAATACTTCATAATTTTTTTTCTTATATTGTTACAAAAATTGTTTACAAATTTTTTGTAAACAAAATGATGAAAATATTAGTGCGGTTATTGTGTTGAATAAATGGTACCAAATTTTGTACCTTGGTCAATGGTGCCCTAGGGTGCAATGGTACCATATAGTACAATTGTACCATATGGTACAATATGGTTCAATGGCATATGATACAATGGTACCATATGGTAGAGTATGGTACAATGGCACCATTTGGTACAATGGTACCATATACAATGGTACCATATGATACAATGGTACCATATGGTGCAATGGTACCATATGGTACACTGTACCATACAGTACAATGATATCGCATGGTTCATTGTACCATATGGTATTATATTGTACTGTTGTATTCAACACAATAAGCACTTATATTTTCATAATTATTTTGTTTACAATAATTGTTTACAACAAAAATATACAAAAATGTTGTATATTAGTAATGTTCTATTATGTATTTACAAATGTATAGGAACTCGACATGTTCCTTGAGGTGGATGACAAAGCACTTTGTCTTGGAAACTGCTGAGTCAGTAGCTAGCTTGCGTTGCCACTCAGTCTTGGCTAGTGTCTCCTGCCACCAACACCTCCTATTGACCATATGGTACACGGTATCATATGTTACAGGGTACCATATGGTACACTGTACTATATGGTATAGGGTACCATGCAGTACAGGAAAACATGGTGCAGGGTACCATATTGTGCAGGGTACCATATGGTGCAGGGTACCATATGGCACAGGGTACCATGTGGCACAGGGTACCATATGGCACAGGGTACCATATGGTACAGGGTACCATACAGTACAGGACACCATATGGTACAGATACAAGGATCCCTATGGAAATAAGTCACACTGACTTTTTTGGGTTATCCTAGGATTTTATATATATGCTGCTATGTATAATAATCCATGTAATTGTATTTCTGTACACCTGAATAAACTTACTCAAGCGCATGTGGCATCGTAATTAAGTTTATTTAGGTATACACAAATAAAGTTACATAGAATATCATACTTAGCAGCATATGTTTGGAGAACCTAGGATAGCCCAAAAAAGCCAGACAGACTTATTTCCATTAGGGTCCCTGTACCCTGTACTATATGGTACAATGTACCATATGGTATACTGTACCATATGGTATAATGTACCATATGGTATAATGTACCATATGGCACATTGTACCATATGATACCATTGTATGACATGGCACCAATGTACCATATGGTATCATTGTACCATATGGTACAATGGTACCATATGGTTCAAAACCATAGAATTCCTCTTCAGCTCCACTTACATCAGTCTTAGAACTGTAAGTTGTGAAGAGGAGAGTCAGATTTCTCCCGAAGAGTGAGTGGGGAGTGAGAGCTTCCTTGCCGCCAGGCACGATGAACAAAGCTACTTTGGCGGCATTCCCACAATGCCATGCAGGCGTCCAGATTTTTTCTATAGTGTGCACACTGACCACCCAGACCCATTCTCTCAGATGTAGGCCTACCAGCCTTCTCGTGCTAAATTTGACGCCGCTAGAATTTTGGCATAGATCTACTGTTTGGACCCTCAACGTAAAGCCGTAGATCTACGGCACAGACCCTGAAAGGGTTAAAACAGTATCAATGATGGTTGACACAAACCCACTACCATTATAGTATGCTCCTCACTTAGCGACAAATTCATTTAACGATGTGGCCTTAGAAACGGAACTCCGTTGTTAAGTGAGGAGAGGCTGTATACTAAGGTCTGAGGCGATAAAGAAGTAAGTTGCTAAGTTAGGAGAAGCTGTATTCCTCACTTAGCGACAAATTCGTTTACTGAAGTGGTCTTTGGAAAGGAACTATGTCGTTAAGTGAGGAGAGGCTGTACTTGGTATACAATACCAACAAGATGGTGAATTAGACGCATGTGCAACTGCTGGGTATTTTTACTTTGCAGACATTTCAGCATCCATCTGAAGCCTGGCACCATTTTGTGAGGACTGTCAGTTCACCATATCTTAATAGATTGTTCTGTCTATCAGTGGGCTTGCAGGATTCACTTCCGACATCCATTGCCTCAACACACACTAACTGACCTTGCTGAGAGCTCCACCTTTGATGCAGAGTCGCTCTTTGACTTTTTAGCAGAAATTAACCTATTGCATCAACTTTGATATAGATTTTAGTCTTACAGTTTCCCCATTGCCGTACTAACCCTCTACCCTTGCACACTCCTGCCCATCACTCCTTTTCCCTTCACACATCCTTCCCTACAGTGTCAATTGACCCTTTTGGGCTTAGTGCTTAACTTGATTATATCGTTCAATTTCATTGTGCACAACTTTCTTTTTAAGAGCAGATTCATCTATATTACTTGGGTTACACTTACGAGGTGTGATGTATGCTGTCACTGCACTGTACTGTACTGTATCATAATCCTTGGTACAGCACAGGTGTCTTTTAGCTCAGTGGTAACATATTAAGCTCTCAGTTGAAAGTACCTGGGTTCAGTTGGGTAAGGTGGGATGTATGGGCAAGTCTTCTGAAACCTAATGCCCCTAAGAATGTGTCACATTCTTAGGAAGAGCCAAAAAAGCCCATCAGTAGAAATAGTCATTGCCTGACTTTCTTAGGTTATTCTGGTTTATTAGCCCTCTTAATCTACTAATCTGAATAAAGTTGCCTATAATGCAGTCTGTAAAGTATTTATAATTGAAAGTTCAGGACAATCCAACCTGCTTGAGGAAAAAAATACTAATATCTCAAGCTTAGAAAAATAAAGGAAGTCTGCTTTGTACAGACATTTCCAAATCAACTGTTACACACAACTTATTGGTAATGGTTTTGGCTGCATTGTGTATTGTATAAATTAATAAGCAAAATACACCTGTATAATAATTATTGTTTGTACATTATATGAAATAAATTTTTTTTTTTGTATATGTATATGTATCTGGATGGAGCACAGGTGAATGCCTCACATAACTATTGAGTATTCAATTTATATCATGGGGCATTTGTAAGAAAATTACATGAATTCAAAAGTGAAGAGTTTGAAGGAATTAGTATATTTCTACAGTATTAATAATTGAAAGTGTATGAACTCTGTTAAGGTGAGAATTCTTGTTAGCTAGTAGTAAAACATTTAAAAGAGTGCTTTCAGTAAAAAGTATTCAAAACTTCCACCACCTTGCATTGACAAGTCCTGTGATTCCATTCATTATGTGAAAATGTGGGCTTCTTGGAGCCTTCACATGCTCTTCTCAAATATATTTAGAAATGAGTGTGTGTGACTAGTCGCTAAAACATGTATGCACATCAAGTTTGAGAACTTAACCTGGGAATTAGAAATGCATACACTTATCTCTCTCCATTAACAGCTATGGAATGAATGAGGGTGAATGTTTCCTTAGTTTGGGTCTCCCTATCTTGGTGGAAGATGGCTGGTGTGTTAAAGAAAAAAATGTAAATCTTGGGAGTTAACCCATAAGGGTCGGGTCTTCTAGATTTGGAGTCAGGACAAGGATACTACAGTGTTCCCATTTTGCTTTGTTATAACTGTTCTACAGTACTTCGCACAATGAAAATAATGTCACTTGTTTCAAAGAAAGTTTTAAGAAAAATAATGTACAATTGATTGTTTTCTAATTTTATATTTAGTTTCTAACCTCTTATTCCATTGTCAAATTGTTAGAGTAAATCAGACACAATTTAGTTTCTCACCCCACTTGTGATTGTGTTTTATGTATATGTGATAAAACAAGTATCGCATTAGTTTTCATTTTGTATGCTTGTTAGCAGAGTAAAGCTCAGACTTGCATCCACTGTCACATCCTCTCACAGTTTCCACTACACATGATCTGCAGTCAATCTCATAACAACTTGCCTGGAGGCAACAGGTTTTCTTTCTTTTTGATATTGTTATTCATCAGTCTACCCCTTTACCTTGTTCCTTAAGCCACATACTGCTATATATTTTAGTTGTGATCTTATTTGATATACAGTACATTCATTTATGTTAGTCTGTTAAATATTTACTGGAAAGGTTGAGTTTACAGAAAGGTTCCATAAAAAATCATTTATATCTCTGACTTAGCTTTAATTTTTAAAAAATATGTCTTTTAATAACTTGATTCTCTTTGCAGGAGGACTGCATTTAAAATCTTAAGAGCAAGGTATTGGTACACATGTGTAGACAGTAGCGTCCTCAAGTAGTTTGTAATATCCCTTTCACTCCTGTAGATTACAGTACTTAATATTATCAGCTTGCCATTACCTTTAGAATGCTCATAATATTCTCTTTACAAGTTAATGGCAGATTTATAAACGTGTTTTGTTGTTACAAATTAGGCATTATAGTAACCATTGTCAGTTCTGCTTGCTGTCACGCTCTAGATTGCTCCCATAAAATTTTTACCTTTATCAGAGAATTGAATGATTTAACATGTGTCAGTCATTTACCATGAAGAATGTATCTACAGCACTGCATATGTGAAGTTGATATGCAGAGGTGGTTTGATTTATTGCAGTATAGATTAATGTGTATGAACACTTAAATTTTCAGCTACAATTTATTGAGTCTTCCAAATGCAAAATCTTTTAGCATTGTTAATACCATTTTTATTCTTTTAAAATTTAGCCATTCTTATTATAAAGTTCCCAGATTCTGTGAATCATAATAGTATTCTTTAGTAACCTTAATTGTTTTGTGATCACCTTCAATTACTATTCACAGTATTGCTGCATGCTCATATCATTTAAGACCTTTATTGTCAGCCCCTACACTATGGCCAGCTAGAATCCTGATTCTTGAAATTATTTTTCTGGGGGAAAGTCATTAGGGTGTTCATTTGTTCTTTTAGTGGCATACAGAATCCTTTATCCAAAATTCCAGAATCTGAAAACCTCCAAAATCTGAAAGTTTTTTTGTGTTGACATGACACACCACAAATGGATCATTTAGCCCAACATGTAGTGGAGGCTCAGTCCTCTGTCTGTTGAGCCAAGACAGATAAACTTAATATTTATACTAGCGCCAGTTTGTTGTCAGCAACAATTACCACATTTTACAGCTTCGAAGTTTTTTTTTTTTTTCCAAAATAAATCTTGAAAATTTACCCAGCGTTTTGGAGACGAAGGTTATGTTGCTCATAGTCCTCAACCTAAGCCTAGAGAAGCGTTTCATTTATAGACAGTAATCTAAGCTCCTGTATATGATGCAGTAATGAATCATGTAAACTGTTTTGTAAAAATTAATAAATAACAAAAATAATAAATCATAAAAATTCGTTGGCACTTAGCACTGGCAGGCTAGGGTAAACCAAGCGATGAAATCGGATGAACTGTGGGTAGTATCAGTAGGCAAATTCTCCTGTTTACCATCAAACCATATGGTAATAATATTTTAACTCGCCTCAAATGATCCTGATATTAACCCTTTTGGGGTCTGTTTTGCAGTACTATTGCTTTGAGCTCAGGATCCCTGCCATAGTACGACTTGATGAGCTCAGCTCACTCAGATAGGCTGTGAACAGTAAATTTTGGCCTAGATATGAGAGAATGGGTCTGCATGGTAAGTGTGCACCATATCAAAAAAATTCTGCCCCATGCAATGCATGATAGAAAAAACAAAACTGAGACCTTGTCTATGGTTTAAAATAGTGACTTTGCCATGTATTTTCAGATGTTTTTATGGTTTTATTCTCGGTTTCTTGGTATCAATTGATAGAATGAAAGATATATCACAGAAATAGAGATGATTCTGATTGGCAGACTGGAAGTAGCTTGAAATTGAGCTCAAAGTAGATGTATTCAATTTTTATCAATATTCCAGAGGACACTAAATCTTGTCACTTATTTATTACATGTCCAACTGGCCGGTCTAATGTGTTTATTACTCTGCTGACATTATTTGTGCAATTATTATTATAATAATGTACGTAGTTGCCTGCATACCAGTAAATCTACTACAGGTTGGCCATAACTAATCCTGTATCATCGGGACCTGTAGGGTGCCGGATTTGTGATTTTGTGAGATTACAGAGTGGTGACATTAGAATACACTTAACCCAACAGCTAACCGCCTCATTCTACCTTTAAAATACCCCATAAATCAGTACAAGTTGGTTAACCCTTTCACTGTCGTGACCTCAGTATGTGTTGGGTTGCAAGAGCCTTGCCCCGTTTTGGGCTACTTGCTGATACATTCTTAAGATCCTTTACCTGACGAATCATTTAATGAAAGAGCACTTCTTGTATACGTTGATATACCGTATCAAAAAGTTTTTATTCATTTCCCACTGCATTATACTGCAGCTCATATTTATTTACACCGATGGTTTACACTTTGCCTCTCTTTATCTTTCTTCCTCCCACGCATTCTGTATCTCTGATATTGCATTTTTAGTTTCATCTCTACCACTGCCCATATTGTTGTTGGGTGATTTTAACGCTCACTATCACCTGTGGGGAGGGTCCCACTGCGACTCTTGTGGTGATCAGTTAGAGACTCTTCTCGCATCCCATCCTCTTCATGCTTTAAACACGGGTGCCCCTACCCATTTTGACTCTTGTACTCGGTCTCTCTCCTGCATTGATCTCTCTCTCTGTTCCTCACACATTGCCCTTGATTTTGCGTGGTCTGTTCTTCCAGATTTACGTGATAGTGGTCACTTTCCCATCCTTCTTACTTCTACTACATATGCTCGACCATTTTGTAGCCCTCGTTGGCAATTTGCTCAAGCACATTGGGACTTGTACTTCCATCTTACTGCTCATTGTGAGGACCCCCTTTCATCCTCTATTGATGGAACTGGCACACCACTTTTCAACCATGGTCCTAACTGTGGTGACACGTTCTATCTCCCAAACCTCAGGTAAGCACTCTCAGCATGCGTACCTTGGTGGTCTCCTACATGCACCCGTGCAGTGCATTTAAAATGTGCAGCGTGGGACTGTTATCGATATAATCGTACCACGGAGCTTCTGTTGGATTTCAAGCGGGCAAGGGCAGTTGCTCGCCGCATCATCCATGACGTTAAGCACACTTGTTGGCGAGACTACGTATCTACCATTAACTCGTCTTCCCCTTTGTACATGATTTGGAAAAAGGTGCAGAAATTGTGTTTTAAGTACACTCTGGACCCAGAATCCATTTTGCGGGTTGCTGGAGTGGATGTCGCGGAACCCTTAGAAGTTGTCACAGCAATCAGGAACTATATTGTCCGTATCTCCCAAGGGCTTTACCTCTGTCCCTCATTTCTTGCGTCTAAACCACCAAAGAGCAATTGCCCTTAGATTTCTCCTCTGATAGGTTGGAGCCATATAACGTACCTTTTACTCTTCAAGAACTGGAGTCCATGCTTTCCATTTGCCAGCCGTCAACACCAGGACTTGATGATATCCACATCAGTATGCTTCAACATCTCCATTTTATGGCCCTTCCCATTCTTTTATGTTTTTTCAATCTAATTTGGATGTGAGGGGTTCTTCCTCAATGCTGGAAATCGGCTATTGTAAAGCCGTTTCGCAAACCAGGTGCTTTGGGACTTGACACCTCTCACTGTCATCCCATTGCCCTGACCAGCATGGTCTGCAAGGTGATGGAATGATTGGTGAATAGACATCTGATGTGGTTCTTAGAGACACCCAATAGCCTTTTCCTTTGCCAATATGGTTTTCGCAAAGGTTGCTGTACTGCAGACCCTTTGCTCCACTTGGACACGTATATTCATAATGCCTTTGCTAACAACCACTCTGTCCTAGCAGTCTTTTTTGATCTAGAGAAAGCATATGACACCACTTGGAGGTATAACATCTTAGCCCAAGCCCACTCCTTAGGCCTCCGCAGTAATCTACGAAACTTCATCGCTGCTTTCTTGTCCGATAGACATTTTTGGGTCCATATTGGTGCCTCGCTCTCCTTGGACTTTGTACAAGCCGAGGGTGTTCCACAAGGTTGTGTCCTCAGCACTACTCTTTTTCTCTTAGCTATAAATGACCTCCCTCCATTCTTCCTTTGCTTATTTGGTCATCATTTTATGTTGATGACTTCGCCATAGCTTACTCGGGCACTGACTGTCGATTAGTAGCAGCATCTCTTCAGGTTGTGATAGACTGAGTCTCCCATTGGACCACTTCTCATGGCTTTAAATTTTCTAGTACGAAAACGCGGTTCATTACCTTCACTAGACGTTCTCTTATCCTGGATACTCCTTTGTACTTACACAGTTCACGTACACAAATAACCCGCACATTGAAGAGAGGAGCTTACGACGACGTTTCGGTCCGACTTGGACCATTTACAAAGTCACACTAACCAGAAGTGGAACAGGACGGCTATATATAGGCAGGAAGAGGTAGTGGTGGTAGTAGTAGTAGTAGTGGTAGAGGTAGTAGGGGGAATTAAGGAGGAGGAGCCAGTCAAATGCAAAGAAAGGGGAGCACTTCAAGGGAGCTAGGTGCCCACAGAGGAAGAGCAAGTGCACAGAGGTGGGGGAAAGGGGAAGTGATGAAATAAATAATGAAGGAACAGAAACACGTGACAGAAGAAAGAAAGACAAAAAAGGAAAGAGGAAAGGGGAAAAGGGAGATGAAGAAAAAATGAGGAATCGGGTTAAGTGTTCTGAAGTTTGGAGCATTTTACAATGTAGTGGGAGAGGAAGGCATCTACAGAGACGAAGCCAGGACTAAGATTCATACAAGGAAAGTTGTGTATTAGAGAGGATTCAACTAGACGGCGACTGTTAGAGTTGGAAGTAGGGAAGACAGTTTTAACAAAAGACCAGTCAATAGGATGGCTGTGATCTCTGACGTGACAGAACAGAGCATTGTTATTGTTGGCAAGCCTAACACTATTTTTGTGCTCCCTAAGTCTGTCAGAAAGAGATCGGCCAGTTTCTCCAGAGTATTGAAGAGGACAGGAGGAGCAAGAAATAGAGTAGACACCAGGAACATCTGTAGAGGGAGGAGAGGTATGAACGAGATTAGTGCGAAGAGTGTTAGTCTGGCGGAAAGTAAGCTTGATGTCTAAGGGACATCATACTATCTTCTGACAAAGGTAATTCGGTAGTTATCCTTGATCGCGAGGCTTACCTCCGTAAAGATGATGTCTTGCTCTCTGACTCACGTACCTACACTCCTCTCATTTCCAACCCTCTTGATCGCATCAAGAGAA